CCGCTCGGTATCGTGTTCTTTGCTTTTTATTATTGCAGTTGAAATAAATGTGTAGAATAATTTATTTTTTGCATTAGAGGTCATCGTGTGGGGTGACATTAGGTTTGGGATTATCATGAAGGGGTAATCATTGCCTGTTGCTAGATCTAGGAATTATTTGTTAATTATTTGCCTTAAATTCTTTGTGAATTTGCTGTCAATTTTTCTACATTATTAGAATTGCATGTGGCCTTAGGAAAGTTTACCGGACTATTCTATGTGAATTATGTTCATACTTTACTTGTGGTCATTATTTGACATTGGTGGCAAATGTAGGTCTAAGGTAAGTGCGAAAAATAACATATATTTTAACTATGGTAAAATTTGGACATAGTTGACAGAAATTGTCCTAGAATGATAATAAAAGGAAAGATGAGGATAGAGACAAGGCGAATGTGGCTTTAGGGTCGAGTAGTGATCCTAGTGAGGTTTATTGAGAGAATAAACATGGTTCTTGCATTGCATCTAAATGTAATCCTTTCTGCATGTATGTGGTCACTTAATTCTGTTGTAATGTTGATGTTACACTTTCAATATGTTTGATGTGTGTAATTGCATGAATTAGAGTGACTTATTACTTTGTGCAATATGTTTACATGCATAGTGGATTAAGTTTTGTAGCGTACTCTATTTACTCTGTGAGTGGCGTGAGAGTGTGGTAGTGAGAAGAAAGTTGGGTAGCTGTTTCTCTCCTTTATCTTTGTGAGCCTATGTGGTTTGTGAGATTATGTGAGGCAGTCATGTTAGGGTTACCTTTTTTATCTTTGTGAGCCTTTTTTGTGAGTGTTGTAAAGTAAGCGATTTTTTCTTCGATTCTCTTTGAGAGTGCCACCTTCACTATTTTCTTTATGAATTTTTTGGGAGCATTGGTGAGTAGATTATCCTTCGTGGTCACCGAAAGGTGTTGTTTTACCATAGTGAGTTTGAGATGCATTAGCAGTGAGTTGGATGCCTTTTGATAAGGTAGAGTATAGATACTTAGAGGTACATGATGATTTGTACCGGGGGATGTGGAGTGTGACATTTGGATCACGAGTAAAGATGTGACAAATGTGTAGAATCATTTATTTGTGAAAGAGACCCTGTACAGGTGGAGTGCGAGAGAGGCACTTCTATCACTTCTGTAAGGTGGAGTCCCATCATCCACGTAGGTTGGGAGAAGTGATGTGATGATAGAGGATTATCCCGAGAGCTTAGGATCTATTGTGACTTGCCAGTTAGATATGAGTTAAGTGATTGGTTTAGTGAGCATTGTGGGCGATGAGAGGAGATATGTGTTCTCGAGGTGGAAGTAACACGAAATGTGATAGGATAAGTGTAGTGAGATCTTTCATGGGGTCATTTATGCATGTGTTGCATATGTGATTAACCGTGGTTTGATTAACTAGGTGTTAATCCGTGGTTCTGTGTGAACGTGATTTTTGAAAAGATCTGTGTGTGTGTTATCCTATATATATCTTCATCGCATGATTGTTTGTTCACTGTGAATACTTGTTTCTACTTGGGTGTTCTTGAACTTAGCCCTGGTGAGTACATGGAGCAAGTATGGTATGTGTTTCGGTTCGAAATACGAGGTAAGGCCTGTGATTCCAATTTTATTGGATTACCTTGATTGTGCAAGTATAAACTGTGTGCTTTGGTTGCTTGCAGATTATTGGGCATCAAGATGGAGATTGTTAGGTTTTTGATACCCAATAATCCGGGCAATGATTTAAAACAGTTGTCGGGTTATTTATCGACACCATGGACTTGGCTCGACTCGGAGATGAACTACACTTTTGGATGGTTCGGGTTTGGGTTGGATGATTATTTGGTTAGTTGGACCATTTAATGATTAATATGGAGTTGAATATTGGCCCATTAGTTTAGGTTAATTGGTAGCCCACTTAGTGAACCCTAGGCCCAATTAGAGTGACCTAAACTAACTTATATATATGTATTTATCTCCCAGCCGTTTTTGGTGGTGTGTGTGTGTTGTAGCAATGGAGAGGAGAGTTGTGAGAAGAGAGGCAACCGAGAGAAAGGAAAGCCATGTGAGGTTGTGAGTAAGATTCAACCACTGTTCTTCTTCCTTTCCATATCTTTGTGGATTGCTAACAACATCACCCCTCTCCTTTGTGGAGTTTGAGAGAGTTTGGACAATCCAAAGTGAAGGCGAAAGTCTTTGGTCGAGTCGAGATAAACCGGTGTTCGTTTGATTGTTTTCTGAGCCCAGGATCAAGATTTATCAAGGAATTTTCGCTACAAATACACTCTTATAGAGATGATGCTCTTTGCATATTACTCGTGAATGTGCTCAGTGTCACCTCTTCCAAAAATTTTGAATTTGTAAAATAGCATAATTGTAAGAATGTATTTTGGAATAGTAAATTAGTGGAGAATATATGTTTAAAAATAAGGAAAAAAATTTGGTTTGCATATAATATTTTTTTATTGAATAATTTGTGGTTGAAAAGGAAAAAAATGTATTTTAAAAATAATGGAAACCAAACAAGTGCTGAATATAAAACATTAGGAGGAAGGTACCTTAGTCGCAAAATTAAAGCTTCGTCCATGAGTTTGTAAATAGTTGGGTACCTTTCAACAATTAGAGGTTTTTTGACAAAGATTTTATTGAAATTGATGAAATGTCCTATGAATAAAGCCAATCTAAGAGGCTAAAAAATAGGGAACAAATTGAGTTGGCAGAAATTGGTTAGCTTTGTTTTTCAAAATTTTCAAAGTGTCCAATCATATTTCGGCACGAGTCAACTACCTTGTTTTTCAACTTGTCTCTATAGCATTATTGAATGTCCTATAGGAAAGTTAATAAAAATTATGAATCCAATTAAATATATGTTAAAATTTGAACTTTCATTTGTTCAAAATTTGAAAAAATAATTTTATCAAACAATCACTTAGTCATAATTTCATATTCGTACTTTGTCAAAAAAAATAAAAATAAAATCATTATTATTGAAATAAATTCAACTTATTTTATAAATGTGGAAATTACACCAAACCATACTTTAAATATTCAACATTCTAAAATCAGGTTGAAAGTTTCATATTTCAAAAATCAGAAATTTTATTTTAATCAATATTTTTATAAAATAAATATTTTTGCTAATTTACTCCAAAACTATTCTAGGCCTATTTCAGTTACTTTACTTCGACATTCATTTTTTCTCTCAAAAGCGCGGAGGAACTGCCCCAAGTCCAAATTGTTGGATCTGTCTTTCCACTAAAAAAAAAAAAAGTTGGAATTTAGGAAGAAAGCAAGCTCACACACATTACAAACCCTAATTATTTCTATCTACATTTCTTCATTCTCTCTCTATCCTTTAAGACGTCCGCCGCCTGTTCTTCATTCTCTCTCTATCCCTCAAGAAGTCGCTGTCTCAATTTGAGAGGAGTTTTTGGATCTTCGTGACAATCTACCACCACCGCAGCGGCGAGTTGGTGCACCAACCATCGTGCACATAACAGTGATGATATTAGCAACAATCAATCCTTCTAGTCGATGGACTGATTGTTGAGACCGTTCAAAGTTTTGTTTCTAATTTTACGTTGGCTAGAGTTGTTGGTAGGGGTGGTAGCTGTGGTGTGGTGAGATGATGCAAGCGATGGCAGGTTTAGGGATTTTATGGTGGTGTTGGTAGTTGTGTTGTGCTGATTGATGGTGTTTGGGTACTGTAATGGTGGTTTTACAATAATGGGTATGGTTGTTGTGGTGGTGGTGTATAGTGCGATGGTGGTGGTATGCGGTGCAACGATGGTGATGGTAATGGTGGTGTGCAGTTTATATATATATTTTTTTCAAATTTTCTGCTGCGTTAACGGTGGTGCGGTAAAGGTGGTCGTGTAGTGGTGCGATAGTGGTTGATGGCGATGAGGCATTAATTTTGGTTGTTGAAGTGGTGGTAGTGGCAGCTTCCATATTTTGGAGGAAGCAGGGAGGTAATGGTGATAGTGATGGTGATTGTGGTGGTTGTGAGTGGGATGCGATACGGTTAGATGCTTGTGATCAAATATTTGGTTGATTGTGACTAGTAATTGGTTAATTTGTAATATGTGACCGTGACTCACAATTCATTAAGCTGTGACCAAAAAATTAATCGTGACCAATAAATCTAATAATTTGCAATGAATAAATGAGTTGTGATCAATAAAAATTTTGATTCTGTGACCAATGAATAATCTTATAAAATTTTGATTTGTAACCAAAAAATAATATATGACCTATAAAACTTTTGATTTGTGATCGGGAAATAAATTGTGACCAATAATTTGATAATTTTGATTTGTGACCGATGAACAAGAATGTGACCTACAAAATTTTTGAATTGTAATCGTAAAATAATTTGACATAAAAATTTTTATTTGTGACCAAAAAACTAAGTGACTAATTAAATTGTTAATTTGTGACCAAATTGTATAGATGTGTGACTTAAATATATTTAATTAATGAATTAATTAATTAAATCAAAAATAATTTCTAATAAAAATTTGATTTTTAAAGTTTAAGCCCCCGTCTGGGTGTGATTGTGAAATGGGAGAATCAATTCTCCTGTCTTATCAGCTGGCCCCACCTGAAGACATTTTGGTTTCCCAATGTAGAGGTCCATGCATAAATTACAAGTTTGCCCACATTACTCCAACTGTGCCCTGACATATTGAATACAACTTTTGATCGGCAATGATAAAGAAATTGGTGAGATAACGCATACATAAGGGTCCCATTAAAACATGAATATTTTTTGTCCACCAAATATTTGTTACACAGAATTTCAATGCAAAAAAACCAATTGGGGACGTGTGACATTATTCATGATAACATTTTTTCCCAATTTTGACATGAAACGACATCCATTTCGCTTGTCGGAAAACACCATGCTTAATGAGCCCGTCTAATTTCGATAAAAAAATACACGTGTTTATTGTTGTGCCAGGTAATCCCTGAACATATCCCACTCATCTCGTCATGATTCCGGTGCATTCATTTCCACTGAAGCTTCGTCACATGCGCTTGGGAGCTCCACTTTTGCTGCGTCAGTGTCTGTCTCCGCTCTTAGGAATGCTTCGTCCACCACACCCGCCCGTTGAAGAAAGTTATGAATGGCCGTGGTTAGAATTACAACATGTGTTTGCACGTCGAACACATAACTTGGCATACGATCGAGTATTTTCCATCGACTTTTCCAAACGCCAAATGCACGTTCGATGACGTTCCTGCATGACGAGTGCCTGAAATTAAATTTTTCGCGAGCATTTCGAAAGTTACGTCTGCAACTAGTGTCTCCGTCATAGAATTGTTGAAAATGGTACAATATATTCGAACCCTTATAGGGCGCCACATACCCAGGTCGATGAGCAAATCCAGAGTCAACCAGGTAATATTTTCCAGGTGCAGGTTGCGAAAACTCAATCTCGGGATTATGTATTGGCCGAGCCAAGATTCGAGCATTGTGGGAGTTTCCCGTTGTACCTGCAAGCACGAATGTGAAGCACAAATTGAAATCACATGCCGCTAGCCCATTCTGTGTCGAAATTCCTTTTCCTCCGATAAAACTCACGCGCTGCTCCCGTGGAAGGACGACTCTAACGTAGATTTCGTCAATTGCACCAATGCAATCCCAAAAAATGTGATACTTGTTCAGATTCAGAACGTGATTCTCGGCATAATTAGTACATGTAAACATAAAAAATAGTAAGAAAAATTTAAATCGTCCCACAGACGTGTACGCAATCTACACAAATATATATCACCGCGGCTGTGTTTTCCTATATTTCTCATAGCTCCACTCCACCCAAGCAAACTTGTCGTTTGCATTGTCTTGCATGTTCAGTACCTCTCTATTGGCCCTCTGTGAAAGGAACTTGCACGTGTAAAAGTACAGATCTGTTTGCTTTTGGAGTCGACCCGTAGCCAGCAACTCGCTCATGCATGTCTTCGGGTCGGACATTGCCGCTCCGATGAAGTGGTCAATTTTTGCAGCAATATTCTCACTGGCGGAGGTAGCATGGTCCATAGAGTACAATACGTCCCGAGATGAAAACTTCTTCCTCTTCTCCTTCGATCGCTTCCCGACGGCCTTCCGTTTGTCCCCGCTATGCTGGTCGAATTCATCCATAGCCGCCGAGCGCAGTGCGGCTATACCGCCCTCGTCGCTACTCTCTACATCTACTGGGATCTCATCACGGTGGTCTTCTTGTGCACTGTCTTCGAACATGGCGAAGCCAGTGCGGCATGCTTGGCTAGTATGACTGCGTACTTATCGCAGTCGAAAACATCCCCGAATAAAACCTTGTATCAGTACAACTCTCGGCAATCCTTGTCCTTGTACTCTTTGTACTCTTGCAAACGAAGTGTGAAAGAAGTAATTAAAATTGACTGAAAAAAAAATTGGGATTGCATCTATTTCAAAAAATAACAACAATGTTAGTCATTCCTACCCATGCACATGAATGCGTAAATTAAACATAAACACAATTACAATAACACTTGATGTTAATGTGAAGTGCAATTTGCAGTTATTTTGCAGTTACAACTGTAAAAACAAAATTGTTTAGTAGCTGAAGTACTCAGTCCATTAGAAGTGAAGACAATTAGGCATATATGTGACACTTACCAAAATACCATACAGTTTATTCTTACTCTCTCTTCCAAATTAGGCACGTATGTTTCGATTATTTTGCAACACAAAAAAAAGGCTAGTAATGCTTAAAAAATGAGAGCCGGTTCTGGATAACCTAAATTTTCCCTAAAGCTAAGTGCCACAAATAATTAACTCATTATGCAACGTGAAAAACCAATTTGTCCTAGAATTTCAACAGAACGAAAATTGGTCTACCTTCTTATAGCACGAGGATGTAGAAAGTGGAGAATGGTTAATTAAGAAGAAGAATCCCTGTTTTAGCACCGTTTTTTAAACAAGGTAGTACAAGTTTAGAGATAAACGACGTAAGTAGCAGATTTTATTAACTGCCAACCATCACTCTTGTTTGTAACTCATTAATTTCATCCCATGTAACTAACAGTATCTCCGCATACTTGGGCAACCCAAAGTTACTACTGAATAAAAACTTTAATTCTAAGAAACTCATAGTCATTTGGATCGAACTGAAACAAAGAAAAATGCATTTCCCATCAACTTATTTTCAATATGCAAGCACGTGCATTTGTTTTTGTGGTTCCTTTAGTAAAAATTTGTATTGAACTTGGGCAATTGTTCATGAAAAACAGTCCTTCAAGAACACCAGGAATCAATGAGGTCTCTCGAATTTGGATATCAATTACTCAATTTGTTCTGATACTAGCTATTATTGATGAGTATATGATGGTACCTTCATCTTTCGATCCCACCACTCCGCCGAGGCGCTGATCAAGCCAGTGGACGTGTCGTACACAACGCCACTGCTGTTGATCAATTCTTCAAATCTCTTGTGTTTCAAGCGGAGTGCATCCCGTCGATTTTTCAGTTGCTGCTTGCTCCAATTGTGCCCGGAGTTGGTGTTAAATATGTGAACCAATGTATGCCATTCGTATTTGGTGAAGCATTTCCCATTTCGGTGTCCATCGGCGATTACGATCTCGCAGGCGGCGACAAAAATTTGCGTCTCATAGTCAGTCCATTGTGCGCTTACGAGGCCCCGATTCACTGTCAACATGATGAGCGTTTGATGTGGAGGAGTTCAAGTGTGGGTGGTAAATTGGCTGCTGCAAATTGGGAGGAAAAAATGTTAGTCTCCATCAGTAGAAGCAATCGTTTATGGCAATTTACAGTCAACACAAAAATGAACAAAATGTTGGAGGCACTCTACTGTACCGGGGAAACGACAGGGTCCATGGTGGTTCTCTTTCGATGAGCAGATTATTTTCCAACAACTTACGTGACCGTGTGTGTGCCGGAGAAACTGGGAGCGCCTTTTGCAATTCAACCTTAAGTACAAATGTAATTTTTTTTATGTCAGGCCCTTGTGAATCAAATAGTCCAAAGAAATGTATAGATTGGTGACGAGTGAGGAACGTGCAAAGGGAACGAGTAGAGATCAAAGACACAGATGCTTACCTACGATGTCGCATGGAAATGGGGATCTACGGGGACGTTGATTGTGACTGTGGATTTGCTTGTATCGGTAGCCGAAGAAGGCAAACGTTGTCAAGGCATATTGGGGGATGAAACTGTTGCAAGGGACGCCATCAACTCGCCGCTACTGTCTTCAAAGTAGGGTGGGGACGACCGGGTTGTTACAGAAACTGTTGCCGGCTATCAGAAGATTATTTTCTCACCGTCGGACGACAAATGTAGTAGATATTGCTGCCGCCGAAGAGCAAGTAGTGTTGGCAGCTTCGTCCAGTGGAGGAGTGGTGTCAGCAGCTTCGTGCAGTGGAGGAGTGCAAATGTGAGCGTCTCTTGCTTTTTCATTTCGCAGAAGACAGAGAAATGAGGGTTGGTTTGGCGTGTAAATTGTGAGGGTAGAAAGGGAAAAACCAACTGACATGGGTGTCAGTCTATTTGATTCCCATATCAGTAGAAGGTGGAAATGTGGCAGTTGGACGTATCAACGGTCAGAAAATCACTTAATTTTGGCAATAAAAGTGCGCTCAGACAAAGCCTAAAACTTACTTTCTTTATTTTGAAATGTGTTAAATTTATGCAAGTAGCAAAAATCAGCATTCCAGTCCCCCTACTATAAATCCCCCAAACCATCTTCATTTCAAAAATCACCAAAGATGGCGGGAACAATGGTCACAATACCTACTAATCACTTGGAAATGGAAAACCCAGGGTAATCGCACTCACAAATCTCCCCCAGTCATAGATCAATGGAAAATCCAATACGCACGCTTCATCAACTGCAGTTCCATCAATCTCGGCTACCCCCATTCTCCTCTCTCGCCCCATGCCGCCATCCAAAAGAAGCACCTCCTTGGCAGCTCGTGGATATCCTCTTCCTCGTTCACGGCCTGCCTCCAGCTCGTATACGGTAGCTCCAAAGGATTTTCCGACGCCATTCTCTTGCTCTCTCTCCGAGCTAAAGTCCTTGTACGTTAAAAATCAGATCGGTTATATTTTTCGATTTGTACAGGTTTTTGTGGTGTTGTACTTTTTGTTCCTGTTTTTGACACCTTGCGAGTTGAAAATCAATTTAACGTCTCTGTTTGATGAATTCAGATGCTTGATTTTATTAGCTTCAAAGTCCTCGTAGACACAAAGTAATCAACTCCATATGCGGTGCAGTTTCCGCATTAAATGCAGTTATTGTTATTTGAATTAACTTCCACCAAAGTCCTTGTAAGTTCAACAACCAGTGAATCATGTTCTCCGTCTGATTTATAGCTGTTTTTTTATTTATCTTGATTTAGAAACTCAGTGCTGTGTATTTGATTTTATGAGCAGCAAACATTTCCGGAGCTCAAAATCAAACAAATGTCCTACATTAAATTGATCAAAGCTTCTCTTTGAATATATTAGCTGGAAAGTCCATGTAGATACAACATTTTCTACCTTCTCGGTGTATTTTGTAGTTTGCGTGTTCTGTACATTTATTGTCAGGTCCTTTGTTTGATTTTATCAGATTCCAAGTAATCGCAAGTTGATAATCAAATAGATCAACATCATTTGTCCATATTACAAAATTTTTCCCCAATTTTTACCTTGTAATTCTGCCTTCGTACATTTATTTCTCTTTTCTGCAAAATCTTATATGATCCATTGTATGAATTGCCCATGGAGCCACAACTTCCTTTCATATAATATTTTTAGCAAGACCAAGATTAATGTCGCCTGTGGATATATGCTGTGGTAAGTGATTGCTTTTCAGAACTTCTAATAGATCCGTTTGGTGGATCAATTCTGATGATGTGTTAGTCCTTTATGAGGTTTTTTCATAAGTGCCATTGGGATTTTGTGAATTTTCATCCATGATGTAACAAATTTAGTGGTTTTCTCAATGGTACAGGAGGTACATTATATCTCAAAGCTTCAATTCTCATGGCCTCAAGTGTCATGTGTATCTGGATTTCTTTCACGTGGTAGCAGAGCTGCTACCTGTTTTTCTTAGCTACACGGATGGAGTAGGCCTGACAAGCTACTAAACAATTTCAAACTCATACTAGATTTTCCTGTGATGGAGCTTTTCCTATGACTTATTGTCTTTTAGCAATAGAGAATTTTTTCGATTTGTAAAAATAATCTATAAATACTAGGTTACTTGCAGTTGGAATAGACTATGGATAGTTCATAGTCATGCTTATGTACTTCCTTTATCAGGCTGAAAATCTTGATTGACCTATTCGTGCAATCAAATGAGTTTGACTCAATGGTTTTAGTTTCTGCAATATATTTAAGTTCATCAGGATTTATGTTCGTGAATGCTCGTCTGCAGATCCAGAAATTTACCCTCCAGTTTTTGACCAACTTTAAAGCTGAACAGTTCATGAATGTTCTTAAGGTGCAGCCATTAGCATCTATAATTTTCTTTGCCTATTAAGTTATTTCCATTGCATCGTATAAAATTTATTACATTTTCATAATGTGATATTCTCTCTGTTACTAAGGAAATCTTGGATGGTGCAAGACTTCAAGGGCTTCCATGCAACTCTGACCTATCTTATCAAGCTGAATCGGTACTGTGGCTTGCTTTCTTTCGGTTCCTTGAAATGAACATAAATAAATGAAGACTCAAAATCTCGTTGCAAAGAGTGTGGAGATGTAATTCCTCCTCGAACAACCTGATTTAAGATAATTTTAATGCTGACTAGCAAAGGAAAGAAACAATTAATAAGTGAAAATTGACAATAATATTAGCCGTTGGTGCAGGCCCGAGGAGAACGGGCAGTATACAACTTCTACAGACACCTGTACACATCAGATGTCACCAATTTATAAAGCTCAAGATTCAAATCCACAGAAAGTTTCACAAAATGTGGCAGATGAAGAGATTATTCCAGCATTTCCTTCCAGTTTCACATCATTATTGATGAACTATTGCACTGCAGCCAGCGAAGGTAGTTTTTCTCTATTCTATCATTTGATGTCATTTTCTAACTTCGAATTTTCTAGTTACTCACTTGGTTAATCAAATTATCTACCTGGAGCCACACCAGCAGCGGCTGAGGAAGTTGATCTTAAAACCCAAATAATGGTACGTAAACCTTGTTTTCATGCTACAGATTTTTGTCCTCTAAACCATCCCACCACTCAAACATGAGATTTAACATAATGAATCTGCTCTGCTTCCATTAATTTTGCAATTTAATTTTCTTGCAGCATTATCTAGAAGGTTCTTCTTTCAAAGGTATGTTTTAACATAACATACCGTTAATGATTGGTAGCATCTGTTTCTTGGGATATTTTTAAAACAAGGAGGAATCTTTCCTCAAGAAAATTTTTAGTTTTGACTTGTTAGAATTGCTGAATGCGCAAAAGATATTAATCAGAAAACCGCTGATGGATAGAACTTTCCCTTGCAAATATTTTTAATATGGTATTACATGAATCTGACATGCTAATTGGATTTCTGAATATTAGCAGATATAGTGGCTACGGTAGAGAATGTCATCAAGGAATTGGAAGATGATATAATCATTGTCTTTCTAACGTACCCGTAAGTTCACTTACTAAGCCTTTCAGTTGTTATATTACTGTTCAATGAAATTGGGTACTTTGTATCAGAGGGTTGCTTTTTTAAGTGACTGCTACACGGATTGCATCTTCCATGACTTTTCCGGTGCATATTCTCTCTTTGGATAAAAGGATTCAAATTAGTGTTTCGTGGCTATAGGCTTACCCTTTGATTCAAGTACTCAAAACTCAAATTCATTGATTAAAATTTTGCTATTCAATATTATTAAACTAAACGAATATTGAAAGTTCTAGCACACAAAAAATTGTATCACTTCATCTAATTCTGCCTCGCCACAATGCCTAAATATATAGGTAATGGGTGCAAAACTCTATGTAGAACCAGCAATACTCTTTTGTGTGGGCATAAAAGCCCTTAATTTCCATTTGCAATCTCATGGATAGTTGAGAGCCTCCGCACAAAGAGATCAAACTCCTCATCCCGACTCACCATACTTATTCTCACGTACTTTGGATCACTCCCAAAGCGCTTTCCACTTCTTGTAAGAATCTTGTGCCCTCTAAATAGCTTCTCACAATCCACATCTTCTTTGCATTTCATCCATGCAAAAGCTGTTGAAAAATCACAAATTAAATGTCAATATATTTCAAACCTAACGTCATCTTGTTGGTTCAGCCACTTGTCAATACTCATAAACATATTCGAAAACCACTAATAGTGGAAGTCCCACATCATGTATTACAGTTATCAACACGGGGCTGAACTTTAATTGTCCAGATTTTGATAAATAGGTTACATAATTAATTACCGGGATGTGCCTTAGTGAAGTCTCCAGTAAAATTGCAATACTGAAGGGGAAACTTCGGTAGAGTAAACAGTCCATTGCACTTAACAATTTCCCTCAACTTCTTCCATCTTCCAGTCAAGAGGTGCTGGCTATAATAAAAAAAGTTATCCAATTCAGGTGGCCTAACTGTTTGGCTGCAGCTATCAGAAATCACTTCCAGGATCTTGGCTGCTCTTTGTTGTGCTTCTTTGGACACTCCAATTGTGTTAATCTCAATAAACTTCACCATTTT